CTTAGCAAATGTTATTTCTCAGTGGCTTCAAACATGTTCCCTAGATCTGAATGCCTAAAATCCTCTTCTCACAACCTGGTTTCCTTAGAGAAGGTGATCTGAAAAGTTCTTCATTGCTCTGAAAAGTTCGTTCATGCTATCTTGAGAGTGTCCTTGCATTCTGAAATGTGCTCCAGTTAGGATGGCCGACTACAGTTATCTACCTGTAGCCCTGAGTGGTCCCCAGCTTGCATGTCTGGCTCCCCCACAAGACTGAGCTCACTGAAGACCTGGATTCCATCTTTTTTTTTAAATTTTATAATTTAATTTAATTTTACATATCAGCCACGGATTCCCTTGTTCTCCCCGCTCCCGCACCCCCACCCCATCCCCATCTCCTCCAGGGCAAAGACTCCCCTGAGGATTGAGTTCAACTTGATAGATTCAGTCCAGGCAGGTCCAGTCCCCTCCTCCCAGGCTGAGCCAAGTGTCCCTGTATAAGCCCCAGGTTCCAAACAGCCAGCTCATGTACTGAGGTCAGGTCCTGGTCCCACTGCCTGGGGGCCTCCCAAACAGATCAAGCTAATCAACTATCTCACTTATCCAGAGGGCCTGATCCAGTTGGGGGCTCCTCAGCTATTGGTTCATAGTTCATGTGTTTCCATTAGTTTTGGCTATTTGTACCTGTGCTTTTTCCAACCTCGGTCTCAACAATTCTTGCTCATACAAACCCTCCTCTTTCTCGCCAATTGGACTCCTGGAGCTCCACCCGGGGCCTGGCCATGGATCTCTGCATCTGGTTCCCTCAGTCATTGGATGAGGTTTCTAGCACAACAGTTAGGGTGTTTGGCCATCCCATCACCAGAGTAGGTCAGTTCGGGCTTTCCCTCGACCATTGCCAGTAGTCTATTGTGGGGGTATCTTTGTGGATTTCTGTGGACCTCTCTAGCACTTTGCTTCTTCCTATTCTCATGTGGTCTTCATTTATCATGGTCTTTTATTCCTTGTTCTCCCTCTCTGTTCTTGATCCAGCTGGGATCTCCCGCTCCACTAAGCTCTCTTTCTTGCCCTTCATTACCCCCACTCACGTCCAGGTTGTTCATGTAGATCTCATCCATTTCTCTGTCATTGGGAAATCCCTGTGTCTTTCTTAGGGTCCTGTTTTCTAGGTAGCCTCCCTGGAGTTGTGAGTAGCAGTCTAGTCATCTTGGTTTTACATCTAGTATCCTCCTATGAGTGAGTATACACCATGTTTGTCTTTCTGAGCCTGGATTCCATCTTATTCACCTTTGTATCCACAGCACAGGCTTTGCTCCACTCTCTGTGCCCATGATACTTAGCCTTGTGCCTGAGGCTAAATGGTTTGAGCACTGCAGCCATGCAATGTTAACATTCGAAATGAGGGTAAGTATTGAAGTCAACACATTAGATTTGCAAACCTTCACATCATGCAGGAACCCTGGTTCCATAGCTCACCTGGAAAGGGGGTACAAGAGGTTTCAACCAGATGGGCCAGGCAAACCGCCTCAGCACAGTGCTGGCATACACCAAAGCAGCTAGCAGAAGCTGCTACTGTGAACAGTAACTCTCCTGCTGCTGTAGGAAAACCCAACCGGCACCTCACAAGCATCCCACAGGGACTCCGTTAACTACATTAAATGAATGCTTAGTCTAGTGCTAGGTGTTGGCTGCAGACCAGACTCTTGGATTACAAGACCCATTAATCAAAATTACAATTTAGAAGTCAGAAGTTTTGATTTTTCTAAGAGCAGTTTTAATAATTCAAAAACCCCTCATTCTTATGTCCTTAAGAATAAAGCAGTAGATGAGAAAGGAAGCACCGCACACTCTATCCCAGATGTTAATTAGCAGCATTCAAACTCACCCCTCCTCTAACTGTCCTGTGAAAGCTACTCATGGAAGTCAACTTGGATGCTTGGGTCCAGCTCTTCTTTGCTGTCAGCCTCTTGTGCATAGTGATTAATGTACATAGAGAAAATAGAAAGCCCTGACTGAGTCAACGGTTTTCTTGATCCCTCAATTACAATATCCTCTTTTGCAGTATATCCCTGTTGAACATTTGGAACGAATTAGGGCTTTAAACTTCCAGATGTTCAAACTACTACTGTAAATTTAAACTCATTAAAAAGAGGGCAGATTTACTACCTCTACTTAGTTTTGAAGTCTGTTGTTCACTCTGTCCCAGTAATTTATGGACACAAATACAGTGGCATGTAGTGTGTTCTATTTATATAGCATTCATGGTGAGAAATAAGGGGCATAAAAACAGGTCTGGAAGTGAGCTGCCAACCTATAGATCAGACTTATTGTTCCTAAGTCAGTAATTATTTCCTGAAGCTGACCTAGGAGATATTTTTATGCTAATCTATACTAAAAATGACTTTGCTTTTCCTGGCCATAGAGAGCTGGCAAGAGAAGCCTCTGACGATGGCAAGGAGAAAGCTACACCCACTCGTGAAATAAATGGACCTGGACCCACAGCCCTCTGTGGTAGTGTCTTGGCAGCCGAACAAAGACGAGAGCATTTCTACATCTAGTTTGTAAAGCCTCAGAAGTTGCAGGCTCCAACTTTCCCCCTCCTAGAAACCCATGTCAACTATAATGAGTGCATTTTCGATGTTGTGCTGAAAGCTGGCAATGGATGAAGCAAGAACATAAAAGAAGTCCGTGTCCAAGGCAAATATTTCCTTTACAAACCTTAAGAATGAAGTGGCTTTCATAATCAATTTTAAGATAAAATGCCTGGGCTGAAGTACCTGGTTCTGGCACTGGTTAGCTTTTTAATTTGGGACAATTAATTTACCTCTGTGCATTTGCTTTCTTAACTAAAAAATGGGGCTAATACCTGCCCAAATTTCCCTGGGAAAGGAATGAGATAATGAAGGTGTTTTGTCAGCTCTGAAATATCATATAAATATTAACAAATACTGCAAGTACAATATTCCTGTGCCTGATGAATCACTTCACTTTACACAGCGTAAAGAAGTGGCCAACCCCCAGAAGAAATGAAAATAAACCAGACCTGGCTAAATTATTACAGAGGGGTTGATCTCGAGAAGAGGGTTCTTCCAGCTCATACCACTACTGACCTTTCTAGAGTCCATCTAAGAATGCAATAGAAATGACACCAGCCTACAGTAGGATTCAACTGTGTAACTTTCTCCCCAGAAGCAAAAGTAAATGTCAAGAGCAAAAATTCCTGTAATTAGATGTTAATTCTTGAATATATTTTTCACATTTTGCAAGCTGTCTAGATAGACTTTTTCTTCAAAGTGCACAAGGCTTCTGTGGATATTTTTCCTTTGCTTTAATTTTAATAAATCTAATCTGCTGAAGTTGTATATTTTGTGTGTATGATTATTTAAAGGTACAATTGGGGGAGGGGCTAGAGAAATGGTTAGGTGGTTAAGAGAGTTTACTGCTCTTGTAGAAGACCAGGCAGTTCCCAGCACCCATGTCTGGCAGCTCACAACAATCTGTTAACTCCAGCTTCAGTGCCTCCAACACTGAGGGCACCTGTACTCATAAACACACATACCCCCATACATACATACAATTTTAAACAAAAGAATTAATCTTTAAGAAAATACAGTTGTAGTCCACAGGCCAACTATAGGCTGTAAGTTCTTTAGGTAAATGTACTTGGTTATTGCCAATATTTAGTAGCAGAGCCTGGCATATTTGTGATATAACTAGCCACCACAGTTACCATTTTCTAATATCCTAATGTTTGTTTTTTTGAGACAAGGTTTCCTCGGGTAGCCATGATTGTCCTGGAACTCGATCTGTAGTCCAAGCTAGCCTGCCTCTGCCTTCCAAGAATTAAAGGCATGTGCCACCACTGCCCAGCTAATTACCTCATCTTAAGAAATAGAAATTCTCATCTGTGCAACTACCATGAACTCAAACCAGTATCAAGGATCTATCTGTAAAAATCCTTTTTCTGTCTATTGAAACAAGGTTTTCACTACTGTAACCTTGGCTGGTCAGAAACTCACAGAAATCCCCTGCTTTAGATCCTCATATATCACACCTGGCATGAAAACCTCTGAACTAGGACTTTTGCCAGGGTGCAGCTCTGGCAGAATGCTTGCCTGGCACGCAGGAGGCCTTCACACTTTCCACAAAGCCCCAAATTAGAGAATGCCCATACCCAAAAGATGGCACCTTCAAAATGCATCTGGATACATGGTTGTGGTGGACTGAAAACAGGACCTATTTTCCCTACTGCTGTCTAAGGGAATTTATTTGCTCATCCCTTCCACCTAGGCTAGTCAAGTGACTTGCTTTGACAATATGTGGTATAAGGGATACTCCCTAAGTGCCCGAGTCCAGACTTTGAAGGTACCCTTGGCACCTTGGTACTCTAGGACCACAATGACATAAAAGAGCACATGGAGAGACCTGGCCATCCCACCCTGATCTCAACAGTTTTTCCAGCGAAAGGCAGAAGGCCCACATGACCCTTTCAAAGAATCATTTAGCCATCCTCAAAACTGTGAAAAGTGAAATTGTCTCTTTAAGCCATTAAGTGTGGGCAGCAACCGGGCATTAACAACAAATTACCTAATCCCCACAGCACCGCCTTACGGTGGAGGAAACAGACCGTGCCAGTCACAACACTTGTAAGTGTCCCAAGAACTCGACACACAAACCATAGGCCAGGGCTGCTCTCCTTCACTGTCTCCCTGGATTGGTCAGCTCTCTCTGTTAAGGACAGAAACATGCAGAGTGCTAACAAAATAAAGTCGTTTCCTCTTTTATAACGTGCATATGCAACGTGTTCTGATTTGACACATCTACCGGGCCTGACCCAGTGCTGCAGCAAATCCATCCAGGTCTGCTGTCTGAGGCTCAAATAACACGAACTCACTTCAACACCAAACAGCCCAACAGCAATGATGAAATTCACCCACTGACACGCTAATCAGCAACAGTAACACAGCCCCAACGACCTACAGCAGGGGCCACAGCATATACTTAATAAATGAGAAAAACAATACAATTAATAATTTCTTACTTTTAATTATTTTCCTACACTTTAAACCACATACCAAAAAAGAAAAACTAGAAAGTACTTCATCTTGAATTGTAAATCATGAGGGTAATTATTAAATAATCATTTTAAGAAAATACACAAGAATGTGTTCTAACCCACCAAAAATACCTCAATTGAAATTTAAACAAAATTCACATTTTATTTAGATTGAAATAAACTGTACAAAATTGATCTTATTCACCAAAAATAACAGTAAAATTTTCTGTATTATTTAGATAAACCACAAAACATTTATTTTTGTAAGTTTTGCTTATAAATCAAGATGAGGCAGTAGACAGACATACTCATGTAAAAAGACAGAAGGAAACAGACAAGCCAGGAGCTGCCTATATGGATGGCCTCTGTCTCTGTCTTCACCATGAAGCAGAAGTGAATTTACCTGTGAAAAAGCTTATGAAAGTGTGGGTCCAACAAAGGAATGTAAACAGCAACAACCAAATGGGGAGCAACAGGGCCTGGCTCTGCCATTCACTTGGTCCTTTGGGGTCCTTCCATCCTGACAGAACTCCACTGAAACCTGCTGGCTGAGCTCATAAACCTCTGTAATTCCCGTGACTGTTCATCACAGTGGACTTTGTTGCTTTTGCAGTGCTGAGGCATGAGCTTACACATGCTAGACAAGTGCTCCACTAAGCTATACCTGAGCCCTTGTTTTTTTTGAGACAGAGTCTCACTATTATGCCAGGCTGGCCTAAAGCTTGTGCATCTCATGCTTCTGCCTTTCAAGTGCTGCTACCACAAATTTTAAACACCCATAACTCCTACAAGTCAAAAGTCAATGATACACTTCATCGTAACACATTATAAAATGTATCTCTCATAAAATTCATTTTTCAAAGACCTGATAACTCAACAGCTGACAACTGGATCCACAATGATAAAGTTATATCTAAAATGACTTTAACTAAAGCAATTCCAGAGTGCCACTAGCAGGGAGGCATTCTGGCAATCCCAATGCCAACTTCTGCAAGAACAGATACTGAAAGCATGAGAGTTCAAACGGGGGCCATTTAACTATGGGGATTACCAACAGCTAATGATGCATTCAACTGGAGGTGTAGCCACAAGGTACACAGTGATTAATTGGCCTACTATACCTTACGGCTTTTCTTCCAAACAGCAAACATAAGACATTTTAAAAATCTTTTAGGTATTTTCAATGGTTTCTGAATTATTTGTAGGAAGCTCTGGTTTATTTGTATAGAGTTTGATGTATGTGTCCACCATTAAATCCAGATCATGTTTTATATCAAAATTTATGTTAAGCAAAGCCAAATTACTTGACCTCTGGTCTGTCAAAGTGTTCCTCAAATATGCCTTGAGTCGCTTTCGCCCATTTTCATAGCGCGCTTTCTCAACTTTCATCACAGGGAGAATACATAGGACCTTCAGCAAGGCATAGACATTGGGAAAGAACTTGATGTCAGGAAGATGGAGGGCTTCATAAATAGTGGATGGGAGGTCGATGTCTTTCCCTCTGTGTTTCCACTTGATTCTCCAACAGTGAAGCTCGGCTGCAAGAGTGTCAGGGTTGGGTAGGTCGCTCCTGTACATTTCAGCATCGAGCTCTTCTGAGGTGTTGAATTTGAGCTGCCCCATCACTGAGGGTACCAGAGATAGGCATTTCAGAGCTTTGAGGTGCTGTTCAGAGAATATGTCTTTAAGTTCCTGAATAATGTGCTCCACTGTTGGAACACTGAGGGTGTCTTTATAGTAATTCTCCGAGGTTAGCTGAGGTTCCAGGTTACCTTGCTGGGACCTCCAGAATTTCCCTGGGAGTTTCATTTGAATGTCAAGTTTCGTTGCTAAATTTGTGGCTTCCTCAAACCAAAACTCATGATAAACTTCAATATTTTCCATCACTTCATTAAGTGAATGCAGTACTGCAGTCAAGCTACCGGCTGCAAAGTAGACATCAGAAGTTTGTCCCTGGAGGTTCTTCCCAAAGGCCCTTGTAAAAGATAACACATTTTTAAGAACAACAACCGTAACAATGAAATCAAAATCTGTCACTGCACTACAGAGTACGAATGCTCGTCCGGCTATACAGTTATTCCACCTAATATTTGTGTCACTATTTATACCATCTAAACATAAAACAAGTGCTTGTAGGAGATCCACTAAGATTTCAAAGGCGTCATGTCTGCCTGTCCACTGGGAATGGCAAATTTCCTTCAGCTCTTTACCCCGCTCTTCACTGTTCTGAAAAAGAACAGAAATTACATTGTCAAGTTCTAAAAGCAGCTGTGGTGATCGGTGGAAAAAAGAACAAACTTCCTCAATCGTTCCTAAAGCCACGGACACCCCTATCACAGGGACAGACTTCACCAACCACGAATTTAAGGCACAGGAAGAGCAGAGTGTGTAGATAGCCTGGGGGTATTTTTCTAAAAGTCTCGAAGCGACAACTTTCATTTTGGAAGAAAATCCACTGGACACAATGTAAGCCTGACCACGACAATACTCCATATTCAATCCCCATTTCTCAGTTATTGTAGTGTGAAACTTCACAGCCAAAATTTCTGCATCAGCTTCATAGGGCAGGAAGCCCACAAACTCTTCTCTCAGGTTATGAGCTTCATCGACAAACCTCACCAGCACAGGCAAGTGCTCTTCTCCTGCTATGTCCACCACATTATCTGTGATGATGGAAAAGAAGTGCGAGTCTCTCACTTCCCTGAGCGTCTCCTCCCGAATGCAGCTCTCACAGATCTCCAGCATCTGTCTCTGCTGCGCTTTGGAGCAGAATAACGTGTTCACCGCTGTGGTCTCAAAGCGATTCCGCAGGACCTCCTCTCCAGAGTTGATTCGGCACTCCAGGAGCGCCTGAAAATTATCTGGAGCAAAGAGGCCTTTTGGGATCTCATCTGCCTCGTGCCCATCCAAGGGTATGTTCTGCTTTCCCATGAGAATCAGAATCTCAAATAATGACTTGAGGTACTCTTTGTTCTCCTTCTCCTCAAGGGTCAAAGGTAACACATTTCCATCCTGCTGGTTCACTGCTTCTGCACTAGGGTTCTGAGCATTGCTATTAGTTTCCTGTTCTTGTTCAGAAGTTTCCTCAACTGGAAAACAAAGGGTTAGTTTTACAAACAGATTCATGAGGAACCCCAAAAGACAAACTAGGTTACACTTTTGATTGGCTACATGTTTAAAATCTACAAACTCACTCATTCACCATTAATAGACCATCAACAGAATATGGTACAGACTAAGTTAGTAAAAGGAGAGACAAATGCTGTGGGCAGATCTTTATAAACTTAAATGCTGTTATGAAGCAGGAACAAATTTTAATTAAATTACAAGGTATTTCACAAACTATTAACATGAATGACAGATAGTCCATACTGTGAGGAAAAAAAAGAAGATGAAAGAACAAGTATTTCCACAGGTATTTTTACATTTTACACATATCACATGACTTTCCTCAGGCAGATGGTGTTAATCCCACTTGACAAATGATAGTAAATAACTTGCCCAAGGCCACAGATAAAATTCCAGGGATAGAAATGAAATCCAAGATCCAAAGATGCCGCCTCTCTCTAAACATTAAGCTACACTTCTATATGGAAGACAGCTCTACAAAAAACAACATAATATAGATTCATACAACAGGGGCGGGGTTAATATTAGAGTATTAGCAAGCTCAGCCTAGTCTTTTCAAATCTGTATGGGGGAAAGTGTCCTGTCTATAGTCATACAGGTCAATAATGGTCCCAGGAAAAAAATTAAGATCTGAAGAATCATTTAAAATCCAGTTCTTAAAAGTCTAGGTCTAGCCTGGGCTACAGAGTAAGTTCCAGGAAAGGCTCCAAAGCTACATGGAGAAACCCTGTCTCAACCCACGCCCGCACCCCGCCACCCCCGAAAAAAAAAAAAAAAGACTAGGTCTATGAGAAAGCCACCAAAAATTGTACAGCATCACTGGGAGGGACAGAAAACACCTGAACAGGAAGTTGCATTAGATAATCACATGAGTACAGGAGACCTGGGCAAGGAAGGTACATCACGTGGCTGGCATACACACTCCAATTAAAGCACTAGGGTGGCTCTCAGAGCTCAGCACTGCTCAGTGAGGCCAGGGGAAATCCCTCCACAATCTTCCCCAGTGAACACGGTTCCTCCTCTATTACACATACCGCCGAGAAAGAAAGATTACCCTGGAGGTCTACCTTCCTTGCTGCCCCTACCTTCTCTCTGCCTCCTTTATTCCTTCACTTCGGATCAACAAGTATTAGTTCTACTATATTATTTCAAAAAGATGCTTATTAAAGCACAAAGAATATAAAGTGAAAACCCAGTCTCTCTCCTTCTGGACACCATTCTTTATGTGAATCTCCTACATACAAGTTCGTCCAGTTGTAGCTCTTCTGCCTACACAGTTGCCTTTCCTAGTCCAGAGTGCTCCATGGAAGCCTGGTCATGTTATCATCTAATTACAAACTCATCAGCGGTCCCTTTGATGGCACAGCTTACACATCAGCACCTATAAAGACTCTATCATCACTACAGCCAAAGTACCAACTGCCTTTATAGACAAGAAATAATTATGCTCTATAATTATGTGCATAGGTGGACTTGGACTGGCTGGCTTTACTGGAGCATCCCTTCCCTCCTGGGACACTCTGTGGCCTGCCACCCCTACCACACTGAGAGCACCTGGAGCGAGAAGGCTCTCTCTCTGTGCTCTGTACACAGCAATGTGAATAGCACAACAATCCTTTGCTGATACAGGATGAACTAAGACTGTAGTCTCCAACAACTCCAGGCCGCAGGACAAAGCCAAGCACACTTTTACATTCACACTCAATTTATTTGTTCTTACCAGGTCAAGGCCTTTTAAAAAGGCCTTCAGACGCTGAGTCATTAACACTATCACTTACTTTTTTTCTGTTTCAGTGACCTGATTTCATCTTCACTCTAAAAAAGAAGAAAATATTTAAGACAACCATCTCCAGTAAATCATCTTAGACTTTAAAAAGCCCGATTTGAGCTAAAAAAATTCTCATTTAAGAGTGTAAGGAGTCTTGTCACTGTTGTTTAAAGAAAGTGTCTTGTATATTCCAGGTGGTCTTGAACTAAGTAGCTGAGGGGGACCTTGAACTTCTGATCCTCTTGCCATCACTACTGATTTATGTAGTGCTAGGAATCAAAGCCAGGACTTCATGCATGTTATGCATGCATTCTATTCAACTAAGCTACATCCTTAGCTCCAAAGAGCATCAATTCTTCACATGGAATACATTCTTCAAACAGATGATAGGAAACCAAAACTATGTAATGTGCTCATGATTCCAAGTTTATAATAAAGTACTAGAAGAGAAAGCACATGTTATTTAAGCTACTTTCTCCCCGAAGTATCCTAACTGGACAAATGTGTACTGAGTGATAAATGGGATGAAGGTACACCACAGCACTTGGCATCAAACTCAAGAGAATACAATGGTTCTTCCCAACCTAACCCTAAAGATGTCACAAAACAAGGAGGCTGCTGAATCCTAGAACTTAGTGAAAGCTAATGAGAAGTGCACGGGGAGCAAGTGACAGTGCCAGTTCAGAAGAGAAAGAAATAGAGTAGACTCTATGTACCCAAACCAACAATCACAGGTAGACTGAGAAAGAACTTCCAGATTTGTCTTTTATTGTCCCCTCAAGACTCTCTAGTGTTTTTACACAATCTACTACTATCTGCAGCAGGAAAACAGTGCCAATGAAAGCCAGAGACAGCAGGGCACCTGATAGGCATGGACACTGCTAACAAGACCATTAGCGGGCTGGTTAAGTTGACTAGTCGTTTCTCCCCCGCCTCAGTACAGGTAAAGGACAGCAAGTGTGGAAGTGTGCCTGCCATGAAAGGCAGAGGAGGGATACAACAGCTGGTGCAAAGGACTACTGCATTCATCTATGACAAACCCCAGAGAAGCAGAAAGGGAAAATGAGGAAGCAAAACTAAGTGCAAAAGATTAAGTCCTGAGAGGTGAAATTGTCACCAGACTAGACAATAAAGGCAATGAAAATACACCAGGACACTTGGTTTTTGTTTTTAATTGTTTTGGTGGCACTTGGAACTGTACCCAGTGCCCTGCAAATGCCAGGCAAGCATTGTACCACTGACTATATCCCTCGTCCTGTTTAATAAAATGTAAATTCCACAATAAAATACTCCAGAGAGCTTTCAGGAAGAACAGGGCATCACCTGAGGAAGTACCAGACTTCATGGACAATGGAGACACACACATAGGATCCTGTGGACTATTAGGTAGGTGCTCTCTGTGTACCACCTAACATTTGAAATAAACAACAAAAAGAGGTTTTCAAAATAAAACAATAATCTTAAAGAACTAAGGGAGATTACAAAATACTGCCAGCTAAGCATGGCAAGCATCATACCTCTAAACTGGCTTGGGACACACATGTGAGCCAAAACATTCAGGAAGCTAGAAAAAGTTAAAAAAAAAAAAAAAAAAAAGTATACCCCCCAAACCAAGAGGAAACTAGTAAAACAATTCACAAGTATAGTGGTTGCTAATTAACTACTGACTCTGAAAACACTACTGAAGTAGCTTAGGGACAGAGAAAGTGAAACATTAAAAAATTCTAGATGGAGATCACAAACTTTAGGAAACATAATTAAACCACAAGAAGAGAAAATCAAGAAACTGGGCAGACAAAAAAACCTCCTACCCATTCCAAGTCTAGAGGACTTCACTGAGTCCCACCTAACTTTCAGGAACAGTGTCTACAACTTGCAAATTTTTCTTCAAACAAAACAGCCTCTGAAGAGCTAACAGGAACTTGTCTTCAAAATTAAGAGGAGCTGAGCCAATAAGATGGCTTAACAGGCAATTGCATGAGCCTCATAAGCCTATCCCAGGCTCCCGAGGTAGGAGTAACCAATGCTAAAATTTGTTTTCTGGTGTCCACATGCATGCTGCCATTGCATGTGTGCCTAATAATAATTACATAATTGAAAAAAATTGAATAAAAGAAGTCTTGATAGAGGTAATGTGTAAATTATGGTGTTCGCCTAAGGTCAACAAAAGATAGGTAGGTTTCAGCTATCAGAGCTAAAGGTAGCAAAGGATTATAAAAGCACATATAAATAAATTATATGGTATTCTAAACTTTTTCTAGACTCCGTCAACAATAATAGTGAAATTCACATCTCTAAACAATCTCTAGATCTCAAATTCTAATACTTTCCTTTTCTTTATCCCTTTGCACTGAATTCCGGAAACATGCCAATTTCATTCTCCTTGCTACCAGTCCCAGGAAAGCAATGAGCTAGTGGCCTGTAATCAACAACACACTTTGTCCCAAGTCAACAACTTTCAACTGGCTATATCAACTGGCCTTTCCAATTTAAATAGAACTAAGACAGACTAACCGTCTTAATAAGCAAAGCATAGCGCTCACTTCCTAGCATGCTGGGAGACACAGGATAACTCAGATGAACTGTTAACAAATGCTTCCATACTTGATTTAATAGGATTGTGGAGAGATAGCAAAGCTGAAGAGCCAGAGACATACCAATTCTTTTATTCGTTTTCTGTGTCTGCTATGTGGATTGTTCAAATGACTGGTGAGATCAAATATTGTTGGTATTGCATTATCTCGAAGAACTGTACGATAAGGACTCTGAAAAAGAAAAAGTATCAATTCAGAGACGGTCCTTCAAAAAAAGGTAAATAAAATTCTACATTAGTGACTTCTCTAAAATGTATTTGCAAAATCCAATGCCCTTCTGGAGATCTTATCTGTTCTGTTCTTCCATTAGCTACCAAATCTATAGAAATCACAGGTCTCCCAAATTATCTATGCCTTTTTATGTTCAATTACAATGCTCCCTCCTTACCTGCCATTCACTCCACTGTTGCTGTTAGAACTGGGAAATATCGCCGGACAGTGGTGGCACACGCCTTTAATGCCAGCACTCAGGAGGCAGAACCAGGCGGATCTCTGTGAGTTCGAGGCCAGCCTGGGCTATCAAGTGAGTTCCAGGAAAAGACGCAAAGCTACATAGAGAAACCCTGTCTCGAAAAACCAAAAACCAAAAACCAAAAAAAAAAAAAAAAAACTGGGAAATATCAAGACACAGTAAAAACATTAACCTGACCAATGACTTTTTAGACTCCAGTTTCTTGTTCTAAATGGAGTCAGGTGTCAAGTAGATCAACGTCTTCCAAAATGAAATTATACATACTAAGGATAACACAATACATAATTTCAATTATGCATTTCTAAACTCCTTTTTTGTCCTAATGATCTTATCACTGAAGAAGCACCTTTCTCTGCCCTGCTTTGTGTCTTGCCAGAAGCTGGATCTAAACCTACATAGTGACAGTCTTCTACAGTGAGCCAAGAGGAAGCTGGGACAACAAGAAATTAATTAGGAGAGTAACTGATAAATAACTATTATTCCCACTAGCTAGTCCAAAGAGACAGTGACTTTGGTTTCTCCCTCCAGTTACAGAGAAACACACAAAGCATACTTTTGAGAGAACTTTCTTGGTAGTAATGATTATTTCAAAGCTGACTTCTCTAAATTTTTTCACCTTGGTAAGGGAGGTTGGGAAGACAGGACAGGAAAATATATCTAAGTGGAACATACTCCTCGGATTCCATCCAAAGAGGTGCTGAATTACTAGTCAGAGTCAGTGTTTTCTAATTCAATCCCACATGTCACAGAAAATAAAAGAAAGTCTGATTTATTATTATTAATTACTATATTTAATTTTTTGGTATGTTGAGACATACCAAGTAGGCTTCAACTGATGATCCTATCTACCTCTGCCTCTTGACTGCTGGAATTATAGGTGTAAGCCACCATACCAAGCAGAAATGTAATTTCTTTTCTTTTCAAGACAGGGTTTCTCTGTGTAGCTTTGGAGTCTGTACTGGAACTCGCTTTGTAGACCAGGCTGGCCTCAAACTCAAAAGATGTGCCTGCTTCTGCCTCTCAAGTGCTGGAATTAAAGGTGTGAGCCTTTAATGTAATTTCTTAGTACTTGGCTTCTATGCTGGACTAAGAACTCTGAGTCTACCAGGAAGTTTGGGTTGGGATTGGTATGGACAAAGCTACAGAGGAAAGCAAAACCTAGGATACCCTGAGTTTTTCATCTTTCTCACTAAGCTCAAGTCTCAAAATTAAGCACAGTCCACATCAAATAGGTGATTTTGGGAGGGATGAGACATTCTAGAGAATTAAAATTCAAATCTCGCAGACAAAGCGAAGATCAGAAAAAATAGAATGTGAATTAAAAAGATATTCTATATTCATTTATAAATACACATGTCAACAGATTATATCTAATTCATATGAACAATTCTAACTCTATATCACAATTTAATCTTCGCTAATTTAAAGGAACTACACTGATCTTACTCTACATCAAAGATAAAAGTTTTGGCTTTGGCAGAACTACTCATGTATGTTAACGAGATCTCAAATGTCAAACTAGTAAAGCCAACAAGCTTACATATTTCAATATTATCATGTAAGCCAGCTTTCAAGCTGCTTGCTCTCTCTACACATAAAGAAAGAACATTTCTCACATTTGGGTTAATTTACTCAAGGTGAAAGAATCATTTGGGAATTAAAAAAGTAAAACTAGCTAATCTTTCCATTCTAAACGCTGAATAAAGTCAGCTACATTGGTGAGCTATATTTTAAATTTCTCAAATTAATCAGGCTGGAATTATACAGTTAAAAGATGATATTTACTATACTAAAATAAAAAGTAAAAATGCATGGCTTGTGTATTTTAAAATAATTTGTGATATTTTAACTGAATGTCAGGAACACAAAAGTACTTTGCCTTTAAAACATATAAAATCTTTTGGCTGATCAGTATTAGTGCTTGTAACAAAGCAAGGTTAAAAAAACAAAACAAAACAAAAACTCCCTCAAATATTTGTGATTAAATTGTTGAACCGGAATTGGCTCACCTCCCAATAACTTCACAAGTATCTGATCCAATTAATATTGAGAAATAAAAAAACCCAATCATTCTTTAGTTTTCTGATGCCTCTGTAAAATGTATCTTGAAAAAATATCAAAATAAACTGCTGTATAATAATATATAGTATAGCTTCAAGTCAAGTTTATGTCTATCCCAAACCTAATACAAAACATTAGTTACACATAAAAAGAACACTGTGGATTTACCAAACTCTTATCAGTCTCTATAGTGGTTCATACATGTCAATCAAATCTGCCTGTTTCTGGTTTTTATGAATCATAGCAGTAACAGAATCCTAGAACATTAGAAATGTTAAGATTTTGGTCTGATCTCTTTAGAAATGGATCCAGAAGGGAAAGGTCTGGGTGTAAGAACATTTTTATGTTACTTGTATGATACAGATTCTTGTTCTAGCTAGCCCTTAAAAATTTAATAGTGGAAACAAAGTGCTGGTTATTAGGAGGACATTCAAATCATGAACATAAAGAGCATCATTCCTAGGTGAGACTGTCATTCACAAGAATGCTCTAGAGAGGGGCTGGGGCTAACTCAGTGGTAGAGCACTTATACAGTATACAAAAGGCTCTATCCATAGAACAACATTTAAAAACAACAACAAATAAAAAACTCTAGGAAAGTTGCTTGAAATGAACAGTATTATACACTTATATTTTCTGTAGGTTTAAAAGTTGTTACCTTTAGTGAGGGGGGAGTGGGGGAAAAAGTCAAGTTTTTGAGAACAAACAGATACTACTACTGAACTCCAAACCTATCTTCAACTTAAACAGTAGGGAATAGGTAGACATTCCAATAAGAATGTACACTGCACACCAATAGGAGAAAGAGAAAACACGCCGGCTATTACTTACGGTTCTACAGATCATAGAGGTCTCAAAGTGTTTGGCACATAGTCGATAATGTTTATTTAGTTGATCAGGTGTTTTATCTTCTAAGTCTGCTCTCCTACAATTCTCAACCCACTTCTGGCATCTATAAATAAAACCAAAATATAATTATGAAATATAAACCCAATGTTTAGATTTCAGCACTTGAGCTGGGCATAGTGACACATACCTATAATCTCGGTACTTGAGAGGTTAAGGTAGGAGGAGTCTTTGAGTTTGAGACCAGCCTAAACTACATAGGAAAACTTGTCCCAAACCATAATTAATCTGAACCAGGTATGGTGTATATGCCTTAATCCCAGCAAAGAGGAACGCAGATCCTAATGCGTTTCAAGTAGACAAGGCCACATAGTTGAGACCTCAAAAATCAAACAAAAAATTAATTTAGTTTTAAGGCAAGTATGTATCATTAAGAATGGGTTCCTGATATACTCATTTTGAACACAATTAGGAGAAGTTTACTAACAATAAAATCAAAGTTGTAATCATTTAGAACAAACCCTTCAACTACAAAGTTAGACGTAACTTGCTCAGTCAAGACATCTACGAATCAGTGAGAACTCCAGCAGCAGCAGTATACAGGGCCAGCACAGAACTCAACGCACAAGGCCAACAGCCAACATCTCCTTCACCCGAGTAAATCAAACACCACCAGTGCCGCAGAGGTAGCAACTACATGTTCGACAAACAACTACAGTACCTCATCTAAGCATAAAGACATACTCGTTTGCCTTATTACAAACATGATGTAGTACACATAATGGTATACGTATAAGTGTAAAAGCAAGCTCCAAGAACAAAGAGATGGCATCTGCATAGTCTATTACATATAAAGTATTGAGGATGCTAATAAAGGTAAACACATGTGTTTAGTGCTTAAGATTTCAGAAAAACAAATGTTTACTAAGCATTTATTAAGGGCTAGATACTGCTCCAACTCTTTTCAAAGGTGAGTACAGATGAAGAAATTAAGGATTAAGATGTTTAAGTAATTTCCTGACAGATTACAATTAGATTTTCCCCCCATTCCAAGTTAATAAAAACAAAAGTTCTGATATGGAGAAGTGTCACAAGTATGAAAGCAAATTCATGTCCTATCTGTATATTATACTGCATTATATCCTAGATTTAATATTATTATGTTACAAGTATAATACATATTAATATACACACGTATATATCCTCTTAGGTCTTTTATTTTTGTTTGTTTTTTTAGACAGGGTCTCACTATATATCCCTGGTTGGCCTGGAACTGGATATATACACCAGACTGGTCTTGAACTCAGCGATCCAACTGCCTCTGCCTCCAGGAGTGCTGGGATTAAAGGCGTGCGCCACCACACCTGGCTACTCTTAGGTCTGACTACTTTAACCCTGATATAAGCCCTGACACTTAATTCTACTCTCAGTATATGAAACCACAGTGACTGTTATGATTTTCCTACCGAAACTAAAGCCATATACGTAATTTTTTTATCATTTCATTTAGCTAGGAAATATACCACTCAGTGACCATTCCTTAGGTATTCATTTTTTAATATTTTACAGTTGTAAATCATGTTCATAAACATTCTGTTTCAAAATACAAATATTAGGTGCAAAAATGTCTTACTATAAAAGTTTGCAAACTATGTTATATTTTTAAATTATTAATTTCTGGAGATCCTCCATACAGTGCACTGCTATCCACACTATCTCTAATTTAAGGTAAAATAGTTTTTTAATATCAACAGCAATTCAAGAACAAAGTAAGTATGAGACAGAAAAGTACAATTAATTAACCCTATTCATTTCCATATGAAACATCTAGGAATAAATATTGTGGAAGATGCATAAAGTCTCATATTTCTCTCTCTCTCTCTCTCTCT